TCTCTCTCTCTCTCTCTCTTTTCATTCTCGATCGAAAAGAATCGCGCAGTCACTCGCGTGTCGACGTTATTACGAAAACCTAAACGCGTATTGACGGACTTCGTGGAACGTACGATCGTCGAAGAAGATACGAGGGAATTATGCAAATCGCACGGTGGATTGCTTCTGTTTTTTTTTTTTTTTTCGAATGATTAGGCAACCACTTGACCCGCGACTTTTGCCGTATACCCGATTCGCGAGCACTCGTTACGAAATCACGGCCTATTCACGGCCGAGAAGCAGCAGCGCCGCGCTTGTCTAACTTCGGACTGGAATAAATTTCACAGTCGCCTGGCCGTCGGATCGGAGAATGGAATTCTCAGTGACGAGAAGCTTCGGCGCCTTTGTGCGTCGGAATTCTATAGAAAACAAGTTAAATTCAGTTGGTGCTTTCACATTTGCAACCAGGTCTTTGGTTCAAGTCGTGCGTCGTCTTCTCTTTGGTCAACGTTTTCATAAGCATCTCGAGGCAAGGCGAGGCGAGGCGAGCGTTTAGAAAGGAGAATTCGCCGTTTCATCACTGGCAGGCCCTCGCTCCGCCAATGAAATATTGGAAGACGAAGCGGCGATACGTTATCCTGACGGAAAGTCTCCTGCGAGACGCGAATGTGAAAGAGGGCTCGTCCTGAGGGTCTCTCAGTTGGCCAAGTAGTGCGAGCCGCTATGTGGTCAGACGGTCGTTCATCTTCGCCTTCGTTGTCGCGTGGTGCCACACAGCGTCCGGATATGTAAACGCGCGAGGTATTTAAACCGCGGCTAGAACCCGGTAACTTTCCAAACAGCCGGACGGAGACGGAGAACGGAACGAGAGGAGGATCGGAGAGAAACATAGTGTCAATAAAGGTGTTAGAAAAGAGGTCTCTTCGTATGATCAATGTAAACGATACGATGGCACACGCGATTGGTCAAAGTAACTGAAATAAACAATTCACGATTTAGGGATTATGGAATTTCGTTCGGGCGTGAAAGAGATTGGAGTTTTTTTCTTTTTTTTTTTTTTCTTTTTTAGAGACCACGCAAGTTATTGCGAAATAACACATTGTGGATGGTTGTGTAACATTTTAATTTGCTGTATCGCTTTCAACTGCAATATGAAATATAACTATGAAATAAATTAAAGGGAAAGAGAACGAAGGTGATGAAATTTGGAAGAGATACGCTTATGTAAAGCATTCGGAACCGGTTATTGTTTGATCGGTACGGGAAGTCGGGAGCCTTGACCAAAATAACGGGCCGTGCGGCTTCTGGGAACTTTTTTCATCCGGTTTCGAAGAAAGGTAATCCGGAACAGGGCGAAATGCACCGTTATGTTTGACTTAACTTGAATTTCAGAATGAAAGCGGACATTCTGGTATCTCTTGTTTCACGCCTGCTGCTCCAGCAAAATCGATTCATTGTTACGTTTCCATCATTCGATGACACTTCTCGCGAAATGTCACCACTACTTTGAGATTTATTTACG